GCCCTCACCTGTGATGATCGTCCAAAAGTGGGGGCATCTGCAGGCGAACGAATCCCAGTCCTTGGGCGGCGTGGTTTGGAGCGCGGGACAACTTGGCGGTTTGACCTGTTGCCTTTTGGGATTTTGTTTTTGTCATTCTTAGAACAAGGTTTGCCTTTTAACAAGCTCTTGATCTCTGCCTATGAAGGCGGGAGTCTTTCTTTTGCGGCATTTCTTCGATAGAAACAAAGACACTTGGGCAGCGGGTCGGATGCGTCCCCAGGAAAGACGATCCTTTGAGCAGGGTGCGTGGGGGAGCATTTCCTACGGGGCTGATTCTTTTGGAGGCGCCTTTTTGGGGTTGCTTAGGAACACCAAGCAGATATTTGAAGCTATTGGGGTTCTATGTCACACTCCCAAGTTTAATGTTAGGGATTGATTCCGAATAAGGTTAGAGCATGTTTCTCGGGTTTGATTCCGTTAGCTCCTATTTGAACTAGCAGTTTCAACCCTATCTTTTCAACCAGGAAAACGGCGTTTTAACCTGCTGTGCTGAAAGGAAAGATGTGAGCCCTGGAGTATGTCGCAATCCCTGTACAACTGCACTTATCATCTACATGGGCAACCAAGGTAAGCCAAAGGAGAACGCTTCAACGATGAAACCTGAGAAGTCTAGATGGAGGTTGCAGAAGCCCATAGATGGCAACTAGAAAACAACAAGACCCAAATTCTTGATCCCTCATGGAGACAGGGAGCGGATCTTTGCGAATGCCTCGCAGGTTGTTGCCCCTGTTGTTTCATCGCACTTTTGAAGCCACAAACCCTTTGGGCCTTTGGGCCTTTGGGCCTTTGGGCCTTTGGGCCTTTGGGCCTTTGGGCCTTTGGGCCGTCTGAAAAGGCTTGGCCTTGCATTTCTGGGAATGTTGCTGGAACCTTTGAGGGCTCTCTGGGCAAACAGCTTGGGGGGGGGGGAGAGTGATTTGGAAGAGACGGTCTTTTTTTCCAGGATGGGTTGATTGTGATGCGGAAGCCCTCTTTGCCATTGATATGGCCAAGCATCTTTTCAATTGAGGTTTGACTGCAATATGACCGTGTGAGAGGCATAGGATAAGTTGTTTCTTGTTTTGGAGTATGCTTAGGGCTTGTGACTTGGGACAGAAGCCAGCAGCCAGTCCGAAGTGCAGTTGATCGCTTCTCCAAGAGTTGGGAGGTGGAGGAATCCCAGGAGAATGGGTCTTAAGTTAGTCTTGAATTAATGATGTGTTTGCTTAGCCCCCGTTTTGTTTCAGTGGATTCCCTTGACAATCCACCCATTTGGTGCACCCTTTACCCTTTGGGTTACTTGCAACGTGAAATGCCTGGCCATTGGCTTGTTGGGCATGAGCTCGTGCACGAGATTCCTCTTTTGGGGCTTTGTGAAGGGCCGTTTGGGTTTCCTTATGTTCGGTTTGTCATTTGCAGGTATCCAGTGCATCCTAGGCGTTTCGCCACTCTAGAAGACCACCCTTCGCCGTGTTGTCTTTCAGTTTTTGAAGAGTACAATTGTTCCCCTGGTTACCTACTGGGGAAATGGAATCCCTTGGGTACTGTAACTTTGCCCAGACGGATTCTGATGCTTACGCTCCAAAACGGTGCAGACCTCAATTCCTGCACAAATTAATGTGCAAAGGGCCCGACCAACTGAAATTGGCCAAAGTCAACACGGGTCGACCTGGAGTTGGTGGCTTGGGACTGTCAAGCACATTCCACCAAATGTTCCGCTGCCACCCTTGCAAGCATCTGAAAGGCCATGTCATATGGCCACAAAAACCGGGCTACCTGCCAACGGCGAAGAATACAAACTCAGCAGTGGGTCCTGAACTTGAGCCACATCCGTATTCTTTCGAGATGGGTGCATCATATTGAGGAAGGATATCCAAAGATGTTTTGGCAAAGGATCTAGGAATATCCCGCGCTTGGTTGATCCCACTCAGAAAGGAGGTTACAAGCATAGTTGTGGCTTATTTCCCAAGCTGCTTGAACATCCAAGCGGGGACGACTGGGGCCAGTTCTCTTAAAACCATGGCATAACTAGGGTGAGTCGCCTTGTAACTGTAGTTATAGCTTGCTTTCCAATTGGGTTGACAATCCAAGCGGGGGGGCTACCTGGTGGGACAAAGTAAGGATCAACTTGCCAGCATCCAAGCGGGGGGCGGGGGGGGAATCGCAGAATCTTAGAGGGCTTGCTCCTGTCATACAGCTCTTCCCTATGGGATCCGTCTTCCAAGAAAACCACGAAACACCCACAGGAAAGGGCGGTTTTTTGGACACCCCCCCGAATTGTTGTTGATAGTCGTTTCCTTGTAGTTCCCCTGCAAAACCATCCCCTCGACTAACCTTGCAGGTGATTGACGTGGCTGTGCGGGTGGTGCAGTCGTTGATGGCTGGCGTATTGGTGAAGCACTGGTCCACGGTGGCCAAAGCAGACCCTCGGCTCACGGGACCCACGGGACCCCGGGATGGTCGCTACGTCCACAAGGGCTTGGTAGGTTTTGAGTTGATGCCCCTATTTGAGGTTGTTTCAAAAGGGAAGCCAAAAGGCTGCCGCCGGTCAATGGCCAGGGAGGAGCATTGATTCGCAAGCTGAACCTGGTATAAAAGTGGTACACGCCTAGAACGTACACATTTGCCTTTGTGTGTTCAGGCTCTTGCTCAGAAGACTTTACTGTTTTCGAAACGATGGTTGTGTCCGTGGGCAACAAACAATTCTGCGCCACTTCCAAAGAGTAATCCCACCTGTGATGATTTCTTTGGGATTGGATAATCCTTTGAGGTACCATTGGAGTCTCATACCACTCCCAAAACTACTTTAGGGGCATCAACACATCTTATAGTGGGCCTCAAATTTCATCAGGACCGCAAGATATGCTCAGCTGCCTTGCTCAGGTCGTGCAGTGCTTGTCCATGTTGGTGGTCTTCTACCTGGGAGACGTAGTTCTACTGGGTCGTGGTCAAGGAAACATGTGCCGCGCGGCTGAAAGACCACAAACCCGCTCGTACTTGGATCTGCTAATATACTCATGAACATCGAACCCGCAGGAGTCCCCCAAAAGGACTTTTTTTCGTTTTTTTTTTTTTTTTTTTTTTTCCTTTTTTTTCCGTTTTTGTTGTTGTTGTTGGGGGGGGGGTCATGTAAATCTTGAAACTTATTTCCATCCCCAGCCCAGCCCTGATTTGGGAGGGCGAAATACCGAAAAGGGGTGGGGGAGGTAGCCCAGGTCCAAGCTCACCGCCATGGAAATCGCAGATTCTGTTGGGACTGCAATTGAAAGAACAAAATAGGGAACGCCTACTGTGGATGGACGAAATCCTGCACCACTTTGACACCATGGGAAACCATTGATTGTTGGTATTTACAGGGGAATCATCATTCCAGGGTTTCTTAGGTGGTGCAGGATTTCGTCCTTCCACAGTATTACCAGCTGAAAAGCCGAAATTGAGCCTTGATCAGTACCAGATGTGGAAGCCTGGGCGTCTTGTTGGTCCTTTCTCCTGTTGGAGTTCGGAGCAACCGCAGGAGTGCAGTGCACGGCCCCCCCTTTGGCGACCAGCGACAATTTGGCGTTCAGAGGGAAAGCAAGAGGAAACCAACTATGTTGGGGGTGGCCTTTTTTTGGCACATGCCCTTCTCAGAGCCCCTTCGATCTTAAGAACTTTCGCAGGGTGGGGGCTTTGATTTCCTCAATGTCTGCAACCCCACTTGTACCCCAGTGGACCAGTCGCCTAAGATCCACACCAAATACCCTATGAGTCTGCCTCGGAATAGGTGGCTTAAAACCTGTTTGGTTTGTCAGGGCTCCTTAACAGATACATTTTGCCCAGTTGAAACATGTTTTTTAAGGGACACCACCATTTACAAGGCAATGTTCAGGTGTATAATGTAAGGATCCCTGTTTGTGTCCTTACCCGTGATGAAGGTTCCACAGCATCTTTGGTACCGCCCTGTTCCGTTTTCCCGCAAACACCTCGAATCCAAGATCGATTTTGCATCTTGGTTGATACATTTCTATTCTCTAGTTGTACTTCCCAAAATCTGTCTACGTATCCTTCGTTTAGAGGCTTCCTCCATCTTTCCGATGAGTGTTTGTCGAGGTCTAGTTTGTCGATACTTGATTGTTTCTCCAAGTTGGGTCTATTCTCCCCACTTGTTCTGATTGGTTGTCGTTTCATGATTTTCCCATTTGCCTCTCTCTCTCTCTCTGTTTTTGTGGCTTGATTCTGTTTGACTATTTGGGTGTGTCTTCCTTTGACCCATCCATGTTAAGTTCCTTCATTTTAAGACTGATCCAGTTGCCGTTGTTTTTTTTCAACTCGTGGCCAGGTCTTTATATGCTGGCGCTGATGGTCGCGCTGGGCGCCTTCATGTACCAGCTGGGCCGGCGTCAGACCAAGAAGCGCATTCAGTCCCAGGTGAGCGAGCGCGGGCAGTTGAGGGATGCAAAATAAAGGGCCACACCCGGTGGTGGTCGCTTGCTTTTGGGTGTCCCTGCAGAGCCATCCCAAAAGGAGATCACTGTTTCGCCCCTGCAGATTAAGATGGAATCTATTGTTGTTGTTTTGTTTGGGTACCATGCCAATTTGCAGGGGAGTAGTGTGTATTTCTTGTAAAGGACATGCTCGCACACCAACATGGTGTTTTTTCCCCAGACACCCCCCCCATTCAGCGCCCATCTTGAATGGTGTGAGCTTTGCGGGACAGTTGTCAGGCGAGCCTGCTTCCTGGTTGTTGCTTGCATCTGATGGTATGATATTATGGGAGCGGATCAATCTGCAGTATAGTGCTAGATATAGCGAGATCATCTGCATATGTCTCATTTCTGGTTGCCTGTTTGTGCATCATGCCAATAGGCCCACATACATCAACCCTGACTGATTTACCAGGGGTGTCCCATTTTAGAAGCAATCCAAGCTCCTTTGGGGGGACACCGCCCTACTAATCCCCCGGCTTGCATCCATTTTGAAGACGAATAGTTCCTGAGGAGCCAATGGCACTGGGGGGGGAATGTCGCCACGTGCAGGCGGAGCAGCCGCAAGAGGACACTGAGGATACTGAGGATATCGAAGCAGCGGCTTGGTGAATGGTAAAACCTATCCGCAGTCCTTCAGGCAGCCTTGTTTCCTTTCTGTTGGCGTGGTTCTGCACAACACGCAAGCTGCTTGGGTTTGAGGGTCACCTGCGATTCCAAGGGAGTCCCCTTGGCCAAGCAGTCATGGGGATGGCCCAAAATGTTGGGCTCCGAACCTTTGAGAGACGTATGTTGAGAGAAGCCAACTTCGAAGCTTTGGAGACAAACCCACCGTTCAGGAATTCCAGGTTAAACGGGAGGAAGATGTCTCTGTGATCATTATAACATTTATAAGTCATATGACACAAGCAACAATGGTGATCATAATACAGTGTGATACGTATATATATATATATAATAGTAATAATAATAATAATAATAATATTAATTACTAATAATAATAATAATAATAATAAAAATAATAATAAACATAATAATAATATTAATTACTAATAATAATAATAATAGTAATAATAATAGTAATAATAATAATAATACTAATAATAATAGTAGTAATAATATTACACATATATGTTCATAACCTGGTTCCCTGGTCGGAGTGGAAGCCACTCCGAGATCCGGGGCCTGCAGCGCGCGCTCTCGGACCCCACGGACCAGCGCCCCGCGCGCGGCCTGCAGCGCCGGCGAGTCACCAGCGACGAGGCGAAAGCCGGGGGGACCGGCGGGTTCGGCCGCGGTACACCTGGCCGCGAAAAAGAAAGCAGAGGCATAGGTGCGTTAAACATAGATGGCACTGGTTTAAATGAGTGTTATTCCGTTTACCAGGGCCATTTATTTTTGCAAAAGGCTACCTATGAGCTGAGATGATCCTTTTTTGGTGGTTGGTAAAAAAAAGAAAAAGAGGAAAGCCGTTTGGCCTTTTTGGGTGGGTCCCCAAGGAAAAGAGAAGCCCGAGGCACAATCAAAACCTGGGTAGTTGAAGGGCAAGGGACAATCCCCTTGCCATGCATGGGTGTGGAATTCCGCCTTTTCAATTCTTATACATGGTTCTGGGTAGACCGTTTTTTAATAGAAGTGTTTTGATTGTGCCTCAGGTCCCTTTTCGGGCTTGTCTTTTTCCTTGGGGACCCAAGCGGGGGAGCCCGCTTTGGTTGGTAAATTGAAGCCATCAGGAAGCAACAGGTCCATTTTGGGGGACCTTTTTGAAGCTGGCCCATCTTTCCCTGTTTGTGCTGGGGTTCGATGACTTTCCGTCGTTAAGGGTACTGGGTAAGTCATGGGTTGCCCTTTTGGGTATCACGGGTTGCGGAGGCGAAGGCGATGGTGTTGGTTTTTGCTCTTTTAAATCAAGGCCGAATGTATAGATAGGTCCACGCAGCTGCCAACCTCGCCGATTCGGGTAAAACGAACTCACCATGATGAAGTGCGTCACTCGGGGAGTCAAGTCTTATTTGCCAGGTGTTGGAATGCTGACATGAAAGCAGGGCCATTTTCGGCCCAGAAGACTTGGTTCCGCAGATGAGCAACACTTCATGGTCAAATTAGCCCATGAATCAGGGGTTCATACCGGTGGTTCACATGTTGACACAATCAGTCAGCGTTTGGAAAGGAAATGGTGCTGACTGGTTATTATTCTCCTTGTTTGTGGCACCTTCAGCAAATGGAAGCAAACCCGCGAGGTGCTTAAGGACCCCCCCCCCATTTGAGGGTGTCTATTTGGATGGCACCGGTTTTTGCGGTGAATTGAAAGGGGAGCCAAAGGAAAGCCGACAAACCCATCTGCTGGTTGGATGTTTGTTCTTGCGCGACACGTTGTGTTTTTGAGTAACCCTGTGTGTGTGTGTGCGCAGTTTCTCAGGAGAACTACCCTCCAAAAGCACACCACCCCCCAAACGCACCACCAACCACGCAAGCACAACCTCCCAAACGCACCCAACCAATTTGAGTCTATTTTAGTTGTCTGTTTCAACGGGGTGCGTTTGCGGGGTCAGTTAATATCTCAGTATGCTCCAGCCTGAGCCTTCCGCAGCATTTAAGTTTCACTTGGTCACACCAGCCCAATCGAATGACTGTTGAACGTTGGACTCTCCAGTGACGTTGTTTCTCCAAAACTAAACCTTGGAGATCAACAAACGAGCCATGAACTATGGCCTAAACTTCCTTTAAGGGGCTTGGCTTGGCTTCCCTTACGAATCGTGGTTTTGGGGCGCCATTTGTGTTTCTATTTCTCCTTGGGCGTAAACGGAATTCATGAGGCTTGGCGGCGTGGTCAACCTTTTTCCGCAGTCTACGGTCCATTTGGGATGGACGGTCATACAGTGGGATGGACAAAATTCAGCACCAGTTGGACTGGCTGAAATCGATACCCTATGAATGCTGGGGCAAACCGCATACCAACTGGTGCAAAGCAGATGTTTTTCCATCCACAGTGCTTACATAGCCCACCTCTCAAAACGAGCAAGTTGTAAAGGGTGCCTTAAAAGCTCACTTGCCCAAAGCCGACCTTTTGACCTTTTGGTTTTCCCATTTTGGTCCATTTTTAGTAAAGGTCCCAAAAGGTTAATCTTTTATTTCCAGGTCCTTTGGGCAAGTGAGAAAGGGTTCTTGTACCTCGAGAGAAACAAACAAATTTGCGTACATCTATATCTGCAAACAACATAATCCTGCAAAGGGTGCCCATGGACTTATATGGACTATTGCGTTTGCTGTCTCATCATGAACCGTTTACTTTTCGGGAAGACCGTTTTAGTGGCAAACAGTTTGGACTTGCTTTGGTCAATCCACTCGTTTCGACATACGGGATGGACCCTCAAGCCCAGGTTGTGATGGATACACAAACCCGAATGGATGATTTGGTCAGTGGTTTATCCGATGTCTCATCAGGTTTCATCGACCACAACTTCAGGACTTTGTCCGGCAGCGGTATGGATGACTTTGATAATTTTAGCCCCGCCAGTGTGGTGATTGCACTCCAGGCGCTAATGCCAGACAATCAGGCGCTGGCTCCTTCCGAGCCGCTTGGATGAGATCGGCGCATGAGCTCGTTTCCTGTTTTGTTGGAAGGGTTCTCCTTCGAAAACGAACAACAGAAACAAGCTAAGGACTCCACAAGTGGGGTAGACTGAATAAGCAGAATCAGTATGTTCAGTGTATCCCAAAGTTGGGCCAAGCAGTGATACTTTAACCACACACTTACTTTGTTTCGCAGAAAGGACTTGGAATCCCTCAAAAATTGGACATGTTCCGGTCAAACTTGGCCAGGGCCAACCTAAGCCACCATTGCTCACATTCCTTGGCTTGAGGTTTCTTCGATTCAGGAATTCTGGATATATACGCATGTGTCTTATGCCGTTCACATTTTGGATGGTTCCTGGACACCCTTTTGGCTTATCCCTTTATTTCTAGGATTGAAACCCCAAAGCTTAGGGCGTGAGCCCTACGATTTTTGTGGCTTTTGGTGAGTCCAAATAGTGTTCTTTTTTGTCTGGGACCCTCCAATATGGTGGGTGTCCTGTGGTTTTCCTTCAAACAAACCTCAAGAAAGCATCCCAACATCACCTCTCAAAGGAACGCACGCAAGCCGGGAACCCACCAAGCCATTGAACGCCTGGGGTGCCCGAAAGCCGAGAGCAAATACTCAAATCTGCTGGTCAAACAGAAGCGAGAATTCGGGCCTGTCGCATTTGGACACGCCGACAGGAGGCGTGGAATTTGGATTCGTCCCACTACAGCCGGTGTCGCGGAGGGTACTGCAAGGCTGCCAACTGCGCAAAGTTGACAAATCCCTCTGTGTGTTTACAGGGAAGCTAGAAGGAACGATCATTTAAAGGGTCCCCTAAGGACAAAACCAAGCCCAGTGATTTCATGTATTTCAATACCATTATAGTAATCAAGTGAACTACCGGACACAAACCGAAGAGAAAACTGCTGGTCACCTACTGCTGGGATCCGCCGGGGAATGCGCTGCTCTTTTGTTTGGCTGAGTTTCAGGACCTAAGCCGCCCACACAATTGCCCATATGGATGTGGGTCAAAACCCAAAATAGCTTGCAAATGGATGTTCATCCACCCCACCCCAAAATGGAGCCATAGGTTATACCCCATGGCCATATTTTTGTTAGAAGGGAGCATATTAAAACCTCAAAACCATCCGGACAAACTTGCAGCGGCTTTACCGGTCCGGAAAATGGAGCTCATGAGGAAACCATGCCCCGGGCCTCTCGGCCTCTCGGGGCCACGTCGGCCCTTCAGTTGAGACCTGTTGGTCCATTCAGGAACCACCTCTTTGATAGGTGCCTTTTCATCCAAGAAACAGGTGTCCAGAAATTGTATCCATTCGGACCTCAATTCTACCCTGATCCCCTACATCAGGGTTTCACATCCACCTGTTCAACAGCCTGCGTTGTGTCTTTAACGAAAGGAAACCAAATCCACACCTTGGGGCTGTAGAAGGGCTTTCCGTACTCACAAAAACGGTCGGGGTCGATTCGATTTGATAAATCTTGGCAAGTACAGGGGGGATGTTTTGGTTTTTGCATGTGTGCTTGTTGTTCTCCATCTTTTTATTTTTATTTTTATTTTTTTCCCAACAGCTGAAAGCTTTGGGGTCTCAGCCCAGATAGGCTCTGGGGTGGTCCGGGGCGGCCCTGAGGTAAGGTTCCACGAGGGTTCCACCAGGGTTCCACGAGGTTCTGCGAGGGCTGCGGGGTGGTGCGAGCACTAAAAAGAGCACTGCATGCTGTTGGGGATATCACCTGAGCTTATTCCAAAGCTCAGCTGCTTAAATCAAGTTGGGAGATATACGTTCCAAATGTGTCAGACTGATTACTTCGTCAATGGGGGAACTCCTATTAGTATGTTGGCATAGCCTAGTCCTGGTTCGATGAAGTTCACGCACACTTCTATCGACGCCAGTGAGGTAGGCATGCATTTGTCGAAATCAACTGGGTCTCTCAATGAAAGGCCGGCACTTCAACAGAAGTCACTTTGCAACCCTGGGACCTGGCCCTTAGCTGGTCTCTGTCAAAAGATAGCTCCACAAGAACCAAGGGTTCAAATCCCCAAACCGCCAATCCAATCCAAATTTGGAGTTCCTGATGGTATGTTTTCCGTTGGTTTTCGACCCGCCTTTCCATGGCCTCGATGCCTCATTCTGCTTGATGAACCGGCCGGAGCTACAGCCCGTTTTTCTGATGTGTGCTTTGACTATTTTTGAAGGCCCAGCGTGAGTTTCGCAAATGGGGTTTCCCATCAACTCTCTAGAACCAGGGGTTCGAATCCGCAACTCAATCCAAACCACCACCCAAGGCCATCCTGAGCATTCCCGCAGTTTCCATGACACTTAGAAAATGAAGTCACAACCCCTCAAATTTGGCTTTACTTTCATTTTGAAGGGTCAGAAGGAGCCGTTTTGCTCGGCAGCTTAGGTTCGAGCCGTTGAGCCCCACCCAGCAGCTGGCCTCCTTTGTTCCGCAGATGCCTCCTGTGGAGCGCATGCAGCGACTCGTCCGGGCAGTCGCGGAAGCCGGAGCCGGCGGTTCGGTTCGGTTAGAGGCACTGGGGCACGTGGGAAGCCAAAAGCGTCGCAGATAGCACGGCAGATTCCAACGGGGTAAATGCAACAGACGAATCTCCAGTATCCTTTTGGGTGCGGTTGGGAAGTCACTTCGGAGTGGTTGGTTCGCTCTCGTGGGGTACTGGTGTGGCTTTCAACGACCCAGCTTGACGGGTTGCAACTTGCCCCCGGGTGTTTGGGAGCCAACCGCCCTGAAATTTTCTTTGCTAATTCAAAATCTCGCGGAATCGGTGAATGCTTCCACCAGGAAACTTTTTTGTTCGGTCTCTACATAGGATCTACAACCCTCCGAATGGGTGGGGTAACCGTGGTAACCGGCGGTTTCTCTTTGCAAATTTGAAAAGAATTGGTACCGAGCCTCAGGACGCATGTGTGATCAAGCCTGAGGGGACAGCGATTGTTCCGTGCCTTTGGGTCCCGAACAGAAAGCTTCCAGGCTTGCGGGAGAGTCCTTGACAGAAGGCTTCTACCTAAGGATGCTAAAACCACTGGGTGTGGTCAACCCGTTCCATACTTTCGATCAGAAAAGCGAGTTCAACCAACTAGTTCAATCCATTCTTGGTTGCAAGCCAGCTCCAAGTCATTCAACCATTGTGAACTATACATGACACCATTGAGAAAAAAGGAACAAACAACAAACAGGACGCGAGGATGTCTACGGTCATCCAAAGTTGCCTGTTTCCCCCTCCCCCCCCCGCGACACGACTTGTGTTTTTCCTTGCGGAAAGAGCAAGAGAGACTCGCTGAGGCTTTTGGATCGGACTTGGCTGGAGGAGGAGCGGTCAAGGGACTCGCAGTTCGTGGCGTGGATCTCCTCCAAGTCGCTTGGCATCGGAGCTGGGGGAAACCCAGGTCCCGGAAAACCCAACGGGGGGTTAGGGGTAGGGTGTTTTTAGCGCCTGTTTCGGTGTTTCTGTCAGGAGTGCATTTCGGGATGGTTTGGGTGTTTTGGGGGTTTAGAGAAACCCCGAGTTGGTTTGGATTGGGATTTGAACATGGAGACTCGGTTTTTGGGGCGACCCAAGCACCACTTGGACTTTTTGGACACGGCTTGTCCATCATCGCTCTTTTACTCAGAGAGGAAGAACACGAGTTGTGTGTGTAACACAAAAGTCACATGGGTGTCCGTCGACATGAGTGCTGAAAACTGATTCCCAGTGATCAAGTTAGTGGACGGTTGTATTAGTCAAGTTGGTGAGCCTCGAACCTGATTCCATTTGCCTGAGCCTTTTGCCAAGAGTTTGCTGGGGATCCGAATCTCTGAGGAAGAAGACACATATTTGGCAAAACGGAATTTGCCGGTGGCCGGTTTTGTAAAAACAAAAAATGAACTAAAAACTTGACCTTTACCAGCCGAGGCACCCCTTGGGATGTCACCTTGGAAATTGAGCAGCGCCCAAAACGAATTTAGTAGCTGGTTCTTGACCATGAGAGCCAAAAGTCAATGGGTTTTGGGGCGCTGCTCAGTTGGGTTTGTTCCCAGCTACACTCGTTCTTTTAAGACCATTTGGGGCCATGTTCCCAGGATGTGCTCCCAGAGCCTGATAGCTTAGACACAAACTTTGAGCCTCCAACTGCATGTTGGCCAACCAGGGTATTTCACTGAGTTTCTACGGCACCCGTTTTGGTTGTTTCTTAAGGGCAAACAACTTGAAGAGCATTGAGGGGGGCGGGCTTCCAGTTTTGGAGGCACTGTCAACGGATCAACAAATTGCTTGCCGCGACGCTGAGGATGGGCATCCTGATTCAGTTGGCATGTGTGGGCGCCCCTTGGCCGCATATGTTTTTTCCCGCCGAATGAGGACAGGCGTCGCCGGAGAGAACGACATCTTGTTTCTCGTGAATGACTCGCCAGGTTTTAGTGCTTGGTGGGATCTTGAA